CCCCCCATGCAAAGAACAAGGATCCAGCTTTCCACAAGACAATGGGCTTTTCCCAACTGTAAAGGACTACACCGCAAGCCGCCCCTGCCAGTTAATCAGTGCATTCATTTCATCTTTGCCAAAGGATGTTGCAAGGATGCCTGCAACAACTGACAGGGTTCCTCCGAGCCCAGGGCATGCAGACCCCTCCTCTCCCCACCCCCCTTGCGAGTTTTCAGTTGCTAATGAGAACCGTATGAAACAGATTTCCTTTCTGTTATGTAACCGCGTCTCCCTTTCCCCTGACTTGGGCAGCTGGTTTCTCATTAGAGTGGGTATGCATGCAGAGGCAGCGGCGACTGGGGAGGGGGAGGTGGAGACCCGAGGGCTGGGAACGTCTTGCCCAGACTGATGCCAGCTTCTCGCCTTCGAGCAACTCAGCACACCGCTTACCTGCTGCGGACGGGGTGATTTCACTCAATCATGATCTCCTCTCTTGGAACGGAGCAAGATTTAATCATTCACGACACGATGGATGGCGCGGAGAAGAAATAAAAAAAAGAAAAGAAAAACAAAAACAAAACAAGAAAGCCTGGAATCAGATGGTCAAATGTCACAGCAGCCCCGGGAGGCTGTCAGGAGACTCCATTCTCCTCGCGGTGCATCCAGCTCTGGGGCTCGCTTCCCGGTCCCCGCGGATCCCACCCCTCCGCCCGCGCGACCTCTCCGGCCAGGTGCGGCGGTCTTCGAACTGGCTCCCTCTGGCCGAGAGCGGAGAGGAGGGGTGGGCGCGGGGGCCAAAGGAGGGGCGGAGGGGTGTGCGTTTGGGCAGGGACAGGGAAAGGGGGAAAAGGCAAGAGTGGTGGAAGAAAAAAATCCCCGGCTGGGAGAAAAGTGATGGACCACGCAGGGAGACGTCATGAAAGCTGCAGCTTCAGTGAATGCTACTCAATTCCAGCCGACTGGCTGAGCCCGGCTGTCAGCGCAAGAACCGACGCGGCGCTGGGGATGAAAGCGAGCGCAGCGCCGCGCGCTGGAGAGAAGCGGCCACACAGCGCGTTCCAGAGAGGCGGGGGCGGGGAGAGATGGAACCCGAGACCCGGAGACGCCACCCGCCGCCCACCTGCACCTTTGTTGTTGCGCTGAGTGGACCGGGTTGGGAGGGCGGACGCTTCAGCGACCCCTCCCCAAACCTGAGCTGGCGCGGAAACAACCAAACCAACCCCCGCCCCTCCGACACGAAACTGGAAACTCGGGGCGCTCGGGGCTGGGGGGAATCTTTGGGTTTAGCCTTCCAGGTCTCACCTTTACCCTCTTGTCGCTAAGTAATTGATTCCCAGAGAAAAGCCTGGAAAGCAGGAAAGAGCGGCAGCTCGGGGACCAGCTTTTCTCTGCTGGTTGGAGGGGCTACTTTTTAAAGGTTTTGTGACACTAGGAGAAAGATGGTCTTGTCACTGTCTCCTTCTGGGCTGAAATACAGAGTCCACCCAGGGCGCAGGAGCTGGAGTGCGCAGTGACCAAGTGTCCGGGAGGGGGCGCAGCGAGCGGGCTGGGCGGGAGAGGAGGGGCCGCGCTCCAGGGCTTTGCCGGCACGGGTCAGGACTCAGCTGGCGCCTCCATTCAGCCTGTCCTGTCGGCTGGAACCAGGGCCCCCTTGCTGCTCTACCCAACCCACCCTGACGTCTCTGTGTGGTGGCATTGGAGAAGGAGAATGGGACTAGGGCCTTTTTCATGCATAATCCATGTTGCGTTCAAAGTTGACTCTGCCCTGGCTTGGACAATCGCCCACTCCCTCCTTTGATTTTTAACTTGCTTTTCGTTGTTATTCCAGGAAGCACCTTACCGTGTTCCTCGCTGCACCCCCTCTTTTTCTTATGTTCATCACAAACAATATTTCCACATTTCCAAAGCCTTTCCACAACTTACTTCTACTTCTGTACAGTCCACGCTTTCATGCCATCTTTTCCCTAAAGATAAATGGCTTGACAATTACATTGCCAAGAGCAATGAATACTATTGGTTAATAATTTGGTAATGGCCCTTTCAAGAACTGGCTGCTCATGTGCCACTTTGTAAAGTGGCTTTCCTTCCACAAGATGCAGAATCTCTGTCTCCAAGAAGAAGACCCCATTCCATAGGAAGGACTGATAGAGACTTCTTCTTCCCAAGATTATTTATTAATAATGCATTCTAATTAAACAGCAGTCAGCCCCTCAAGAATGCTGTCTGCTCTGCAGGCGTCTGGTATGGAGAGGCATTTCCCTCAATTTGCACTGCCAGGTGTGTACAAATCAACCCCCACACACATCCTTGAGCTCTTATTGTTGATTTTCCTCAAGAGATTGCTGTTACTTCTGAGTCACAGGTCCCATGTACTAAAAATATTAGCACGTGCAATGTGAGATTTTTATGCTCCATAGTGCTTGCTGGATCAGATATAAAGAGTAACACAGAACAACTGGACTCAGTCAACAACCTCTGAGGAATCTCAGAGTAAGGTCGCAAGATGCAGGATTTCGGTGCAAACAGCCCTTGGGCATTGAAAGGATGACTCACATTGACGGCTTGTCTAAAGAGCATTCGGTTTGATCCGTGAAGCTGCAAAGGCTTTGCCCACTAATTTTGATTGTGTAAGTTCCTACCAATAGAAGGATTTCACAAAGCTTATTTCTTACGAGACATCAGGTTAAACAAGCAAGGTCAAGAGAGCATAGGAACCTATAATATTTGTCTTCTTTGAATACTTTGCAAACGCCCCTGATTGGGAAGAGCTGCCAGGGTGATGTGGCTGCAGCGCCTCCTCAGTGGTGTAGGCGCTTGTGTTGAATGAGATGGATCACATAAACATGGCATGGCCTTTGGTTAACACTAGAGACAGGGGGAGCAATTGGCTTAACTGAATTCGTTTACTCGCGACATGGGTGTAACTGGGAGTCTCAGCGACACTAGAAAACCAGGCCAGCTGGGCTTCTGAGCTGCACATGGCAGGCCCTCTGAGCACCCAAGAGCCCTGTCTGTCAGGCTACACTGTGTTCAGCATGCCTGGAATCTCACTCATATATCTATTTTATGATTTCAGATGAAGGCAAGGCTGGGGTTGGGGGACTCCCAAGCCTTTAGCTCTGTTCATCTCTGGGTAGGTCAGTGCTCCAAAGTTGATGAAGATGGTGGCTTCTTGGATTGATCAATTCTCTTTTATAGATGAGGCTGGATTTTCGCTCACTGTAATGGAGGCTTTTTAGCAGCAAAATTGCCAGACTGAATTATCTCGATTGGGTATCGTTTGCTGCGGGTAATCTCGTTTTTCTCCATCACTGATGGTGGCAGTCTACAATCCAAGTCTGTCTCTTTTGCCCACGTGTAGCTCTGACCCTGCTTTGGGCAGCCCGCCAGTACAGCTAAGGTGGGTGGTGGTTTCAGGTCTCTGTCTTGTCTATAGTTCTGTCTAGTTAATTCTTTTGTTAAGTTTTTAAATCTATTTAATTCTTTTTTTTTTTTCTAATCTGTCATCTTGGACCTCCCCCCAGTTTCTGTCTGCTTGTTTCATATTTAAGACCTTAGGCTGCTGTGGCGACTCAGTTTTTCTTCCATTTCACTTCCTCCACCCACCTCTTCTACCATGAATCAACAACAAAATCAACACAAAAAAAATCTTTAAAATGCAGAGATGGGTCTATCATTTTCAAATAACTTATTTTAACTACAAAAGGACATCTTCAAGAAAAAGAAATTTAAAAATTATTCTATTTTACAGCTCTACTTCGAATGGACTAGATGGATTTCATCCATGTTTTTTATTTAGGCAATATCTATAAATAACTATTGTATTTCCTTTCTGGGTTTTGATTATAAATTTGGACATGCATTCTTAATAGATATCTACAGGTGTAAACAATTCAGTACTTTTGCTAAGAAGGGGGTTTCAGGTGGTTTTCAGCTCCATAACATGCTAGGCACTTTGGTGTTGATCTTTAGCATTTTTATTCTCCAATTATTCAGTTATTACTTCCCTCTTTTTGATACACTTTCATCTCCTACACATTTTCCTTACTTTAGAATTCCTTTCACTCACTATTCCTACTAATCTTAAATTATATGCTTATAAACATCTCGAAATTATACCTTTTTATTTTTGTTCCACGACTTGATAAATGAGTGTAATCTGAAGACTCATTTGATAAGTTTTTTCTTCTAGACTGTTTTATTAGTTCATCGTGTAGGTGTCATCTTTTTGAATTGCAGTGAATCCCAAGGAATTCTTTAAAATGAAATTTAAAAAATCGTGATAGCTTCAAATATGTTATATTTGAAATACAATATTTCAGAAGACGACAGGAGGTGCATAAATTAGACTTCCTGTACCTCTTACTGGAAATAATTTAACTAACATGAAATCTGCACAACAAAAATATAGAAGGCCAGGGGCCGGCCGAGTGGCACGATGGTTAAGAGCTGGCTTGGGATGCCAGAGAGCCCCGGTTCGGATCCCACATATGAGGGCCAGTGACACTGCCCTCCACAGCTAAGATGCTGAACAACAGCTCAACCTGGAACTGGGCTGCTGT